CTCCGCCGGGCCCCGCCTCCCGCCGCCCGGGCCGCGGCGGAACGTGAAGTCCTGAAGCCGGAGGGCGGAGGGAAGCGCCCTCCCCACGCCTCCCGGGCTGGCCTCGAACTCCCGGCCTCCCGCCCCCGTCCCGCCGAAGCACCGTGAGGCCTGGGGTCTTATTTCCACTCTAGATAGGAAACACGACGCGGGGAGAGGACGGGACTGTCCCAAGGTCGCGCGGCCTCCGGGGCCGCAGAGCCTGGCTGGCCCTTTGCGGGGCCTGTGGCCCGGGTGCACTGCGAATCCGGGAAGGCTTCCTGGGAGAGGCCGCCCCGGCGGGCTCCGGGCTGGCAGCCCCTCCAAGAAAAGCCCTATCCGCAGGTGCATGTCCTGCCTGGCAGGCGCTGTCAGAGGCGGGCCCCAATGCCTCACTGCACTCCTTTAACCCAGCTGCTTTAGTTTTTGAGGGTGGGGACAAGGACTCGCACTGTATCCCAGGCGAGTATAAACCTTTTCTTCCTTTCCCTTCCTTCCTTCCTTCCTTTCCTTCCTTCCTTCCTTCCTTCCTTCCTTCCTTCCTTCCTTCCTTCCTTCCTTCCTTCTTTCTTTCTGTGGTATTGAGCTTCGGGCTTACTAGACAGTCACTCTTACCTACAAAGCCACCTCTCCTTTTTATTTTTTATTTTCTTGTCCGTCATGCGGTTTGAACACTGGGCCTGGGCGCTGTCCCTCAGCTCTTCAGCTCAAGGCAAGCACTCTACTACTTGAGCTACAGTGCCACTTGCTGCTTTTTTGTGTATGTGGTGCTGAGGAATCAAACCCAGGGCCTCATGATGTAAGGCAATCACTCTACCACTGAGCCACCTTCCCAGCCCCTATTTTCTTATTTCTTTATTATTGTTTGGGTTGGTATCAGAGCTTGAACTTTAGACCTTGCCTTATGCTTTTGCTAGTTTTGTGTGTATGTGTAGGTATGTGCATGCTAGGCTGAAACTGCAGGCCAGGCCACCCTCCCTCAGCTTTTTTTTTTTGTCAGTCCTGGGGTTTGAACTCTGGGCCTGAGCACTGTCCCTGAGCTTTTTGCTCAAGGAGTGCTCTACCATTTGAGCCACAGCAACACTTCGGCCTTTTCTGTTTGGGTTGTGAGGAATGGAACCCAGGACCTCATGCATGTGAGGTGAGCACTCTACCACTGAGCCACCTTCCCAGCTCCTCCCTCAGCTTTTTCACTCACTCTGCTACCTGAGCCATGCTCCTGTGTGTGAATGTTTACCAGTGGAGGGGAGGCTTCTCTGTTGGTCATTAGATGTGTTCATCCTGCCATGTGCCGTGGCTGGCTTCTGTAGTCCCTGCTACTTAGAAAGCTGAGATTTGAGATGATAGTGGTTTGGAGCCAGCCCAGGCACCAGTGTTTAGCAAACAAAGCTCAGCACCCACGCCCTTAGTTCAGGTGTCAGTACAGGCACCAAATAGAATAAAATTGAAAGCCAGGTGCTGTGGCTCCCGCCTGTCATCCTAGCTTCTCGGAAGGCTGAGATCTGAGGATCGCAGTTCAAAGCCATCCCAGGCAGGAAAGTCCACGAGACTCTTATTCCACTAACCACCAGAAACCAGGAAGTGGCGCTGTGGCTTAAGTGATAGAGTGCCTGCCTTGAGCTTTTTGAAAAGCTCAGGGACAGTGCCCAGGCCCAGAGTTCAAGCCACATGACCGACCAAAATAAATAAATAAAATTAAAGCATGCACCAGAACCAAGCATGTCAGGATTATCGTTTTCCCGAAGCCCCTTTGGGTCAGGCTGTGGCTCCCCAGCTGAGGTCAGGGAAGATCCCCACAGCTGTGGGTGGTCTGGTTGTGCCAGGGAAGCTGGGAAGCACAGAGCCATCTGGGAGCCAGCCCCACAGCCTGGCTGAGCACGCCTGGGATTCTTGGCACCTGTCAGATAAGAAAAGTTGGAGGCGAGTTTGGGGAGTTGGGTTTGTTGTCCAGATGTAAGTTCTAACCACCCTTGCCCAGGCCCAGGCCCTGCCCTGCTGGTGCTGGCACTGACAAAGGGGTCCCTCGATAACCACACGCATTCCGGGAGAGGGTATGTCCAGGAGCCAGGGGAGACAAGAAGCGACCCACAGCTGCATGGGCTGACACTGGGAAAGCAGAGGCAGGAGGGCTGAGTTCTGGGACAGCTAGATCTGTATTTATTTATTTGGTGTTGTGCCACTTGAGCCACAGCTCCACTTTTGCCAGCCAATTGGAAATAAGTCTCACTAACTTCCTTCCCCAGGCTGGCTTTGAACCATGATCCTCAGATCTCAGCCTCCCGAGTAGCTAGGATGGCAGAAGTGAGCCTCTCACATCCAGCTTCTGTGATGGAATTGTTAACATGTTGGGTGCACTTTAGACAGGACCCCCCTTATTTTCAGCCATGGCTTTTTGCAGTGTTCAGGTGGGAGCCAGGCCTTGTGTTTGCTAGGTAAGCACTAACCATGGAGCTGCACCCCGGCCCAGCATGACCCCTTCCAGTCGTCTAAGCACCCCGTGGCAAATCAAGGCTCAGGGGATAGATGTTGGGGGCCCTCAGTGGTGGCTCACCACCGCCCCGGGCCTCCTCATTTCAGGCCGTGGAGGAGGAGGAGGAAATGGACCCCCCTGACTCTGCCTCGAGGCTTTTCTGCAGCCGGATCCTGAGCATGGTGAACACGGAGGATGTCAACGCCATCATCCTGGCCCAGAAGAACATGTGAGCGGGATGCCACTGAGGGCACTGAGGGGTTCACAGCCCCCCAGTACTCTCATTCCTAACCTGCTTTCCTGGGCCCAGCCAGCCACACTTGTAGAGGACATGAGCAGACCAGCCAGCTGGCCACCTCTGGAGCCCATGGACTCCTGGCCGGGCTGCGTGGCCTGGACAGGAATCGGGGCAGGCGGGCTGGGCAGGCGGCTCTGCAGAAGGCTTGGCGGCTGAGTGCGCCCGTCCTGAGCCCCCGGGCTGGGGAAAGCTGGAGGGAGTTCCGAGGTGTGAAGAGCCACGGAGCTGATCCCTTGAAGCCTGGAGTCTCGGGGCCCCGGCTGGGGTAGAGTGAGGGGGGGAGTGGCAGCTGGATCCAGGCTTGCCGCTCCACTTGCAAGGCAGAGCCTGGGTTCCACGGCGCTGCCACAGAGAGAAGAGATTCCAAGCCCATGTAGCTCCTGGCTTTTCTCTTGGGGGCTGCGGACAGAGCCAGGGCCTATTGTAGGCAGACGATTTTCCCAAGCGGCACCGTAGACTTGGCTCTAGGGCACCCCATGCTCTTGGATACAGGAAAACCAGGGGGCGGGTGGAGCTGAAGTGGGAGCAGAGCCGTGTTGGGGTCTCTGAGCTGTGCCACCAGGGTCCCTCCTCCAGCCACAAGGGACTGGAGGCTGTTTGGGCTCAGGGTTTTTGCTGCTTCTTGGGCCGGTGTGGCAGATCCCAGCGTGCTGAGCCTGAGCCTGAGGCTGCCCTGCCCCTCCCAGCAGGATGAAAGGGGCGGGGGGGGGGGCGGGGGCTGGGCCTCAGGGCCTCCTCCACTTCCAGAAAGGCCGCAGGCTGGTGACCAAGCCTTCAACAGATGGGCCTTTGGGACGCATCTAAGAGCCAAACCACACCTAGAAGAATCCCCTTGAGTAGGGTTTTCAAGTGGGAATAGGAGTTTGCAGGGCAGGAGAGAGCCCGGCCCAGGGTTGGGAGGTGGGCAGGAGCTCACAGGGCTCCACCTCCAGGCTGGACCGCTTCGAGAAGACCAACGAGATGCTGCTCAACTTCAACAACCTGTCCAGCGCCCGCCTGCAGCAGATGAACGAGCGCTTCCTGCACCACACACGCACGCTGGTGGAGATGAAGCGGGACCTGGACAGCATCTTCCGCAGGATCAGGTGGTGGGGCCTGGCAGCTGGTGGGGGGGGTGGCTGGAGGGAGGGATGGGCCGTGTACCTTAGGAAGGGACAGGAAGCAGCCTGCACAGTCGCCCTGTGCATCAGGATAACTTGTGCCAGGGGCTGGGGTTTCAGGAGCTGGGGTGGCGGGGTGCAGACCCTGGTGCCCCTCCCTGCTGGTGGGCCTCAGCCTGAGGAGCCTCCTCACAGAGACCACGGGGTGCAGAAGGCACGGGGGGGGCACCGCTGTGTCCCCCTCTGTGGCGGGCAGCTGGATGGCCACGCAACTGTAAAACAGGGCCCTGGGAGGTATGTGGTCTGCTGCAGCGCCCTCTGGCTCATCCAGCCTCTCCCTCCCCCCCCAACCCTGCAGGACGCTGAAGGGGAAGCTGGCCAGGCAGCATCCAGAGGCCTTCAGCTGTAAGTGTCACCTGGTACGCGCCCCTGGGCTGCTGTGTTCAGAGCTGGGGGCTTCCTGCCCCCAGAGGCCGGGGCCCCAGAGTGGGGTTGGGGGGACACAGAGGCCTGGGTGCACCTGCGGGGACATGGCAGCACAGCCAGGTCCTGGCACCCACAGACCAGGCTGGCCTGAAGCCCATGGCCCCCGCTGCCTATTTCCCAAGGACTGGGTACCGTACCTCACACTGGGCCCTGTCCTCGTTAGCCTTGAAAGGATGCCCTCCACCTCCTGGGCCTCAGTCTCCCCTGCTGCTCAGTGTGGGAAGGATCTATCTCAGTCTCCAGCCAGGCCCAGGCAAAAATCCAACTATCTAAAAAGTAATGCAGGGCTGGGGCGTAACTCAAGTGGTAGAACCTGCCCAGCAACCTTGAAGGTAGTTAGACCTAGTAGCGTTCTGTGAGCAGGGGCACCGCACGAGGGTCTGAGCCACCTCTCGGGCCTCCTGCAGACATCCCCGAGGCCTCCCTCCTGGAGGAGGAGGATGAAGACCCCATCCCCCCCAGCATCACCACCACTATCGCCACCTCGGAGCAGAGCACCGGCTCCTGCGACACCAGCCCGGACACGGTCTCACCCTCCCTCAGCCCCGGCTTCGAGGACCTGTCCCATGTGCGGCCGGGCTCCCCTGCGGTTAATGGCCACAGCCAGACAGATGAAGACGAGCTGGGAGGACAGTAGCCCGTCTGCCCCAGGCAGCTCCGGGGGGCGCGGCGCTCCCTGGGTGCGGGGGGGGGGGTGCTGCCTGGCCCTCACCAGTTCTGCCCTCCGGTCTGACATCCAGGGCTCTCTTCTGAGGCTGTGCGGCCCCTGGGAGCCCGGATTACCCTTCTTGCCCGCTCCGAATGCCTCTCTTCTGTAGGTCTGGAGCCAGGCCTGGGCTCCATCCCGGCTGGCGCTGGGGCCAGGCACACGGAGCCTGCAGGCTCCGAAGGCTCCAGAGGCCAGCGCGGGGCCCCTGCTCTGCCCCAAGTTGGCCTCGCAGCCCTTCGCTCCGACAGAAGCACCCAGCTTTTTCTCCAGTTGGTACCTAGCGGGTCTCCGGGGCAGGTAGAAGGTTCTAGATGGAGGGCAGGCAAGCTGGGTAGCCCTGCGTGACAAGGCCTGTGCTCGTAGAGGCGCAGACCCCGGTGCGGCCGGAGCCTCGGGCCTCGGGGCCACCTGGGATGGCGTTTAAGGGAGTATTTTTGTACCCGATGTTTACAGACGCTGGGGGGAGCTATCAATAAAAGGACTGTTCCTGGGAAGGGGATGCGACCCCTGGCTCTGGCTTCTTTTCTCCGGGCAGGTGCCTGGTGTGGGAGGGGCTCAGCCTGTAACGCCAGGGAGACGGGCCGCTGAGACCTGCCGGTGCGGGCACCGCGGGCGGGCAGGGCAGGTGCGCGGGCGCAGGCGGGCACGG